TTCGTTCCCTTTGCCTCCCTCGGAGCCACTCATTACATTTCGCCGCGGGCGTGTGGCGGAGAACCCCCCCCCCCCCCCCCCCCCCCCGTCCTTCAAAATGCAAAAATATATCATTAGATTCACCACCTTATGGATGTGATTGTGAATGTGTTTTTGTAGTTGCAGAATTATCAAACCCACAGGTACCCCCACTCCACACTCATCGTAAAATATATAAAGAGAAAAGTCCAGGATCTTATAATAAATCCAATAAGTCCCGAAAAAATAAGTCCAGGTATCTCCTCATTTTAATGTCGGTTATCAATCAAATTATCGCTAAAAATGCAGATCAGCCCTGCACAAGGACTTTTCAGACTGTGACTAGACATGTCGCATCGAAATGACGCTCATCAGAAATTGATCCAAAATTGAAAAGGAACACCGTCGGAGATGGTTTGCATGACACACTATACGAAGATACATTGGACTAGACTGGACGAGTGTAAATATAAATACATTGTAAAGTGAAAGTTTAGATTTGAACACATATACACTATATTACTTACCCATTGTTTAGACCACTTTACTATGAGATCGAGAAACTTACTTTTGTCTCACCGATCATTCCTCAACATCATTTGATAAAATGTTACTTAGAATTTTTAAAGATTTTCGTATTCATGAAAAACGATATTTTAGCGTAACAGTATATCGATACGCTTCGATAAGACCATGTGAGATTTTTGTAAATAAAAAGGCTTTTCGTGAATTTTTAATCAAGTATATGGGAAAACATTAGTTCTACAAATGAATTGGTAGTTTTTTATATAAATTAGAATTTCATGTTTTTTGCATTCCGACTTTTTAATTCTAAATTAAACTAAATTTACTCATTTTAAAATGAAAACTTAATTTTATTTGCCAAATCTGAGATAATTATGAAATTAAGCAACCAGATGAAATATTGAAAATAAAATAATGATGAAGCAAATACGTGAATTATTTTCAAATCTATTTTTCATAATTAAACAATTTACAAGTTTTGAGTTCTGTGCTCGTATTGAAAGATGAATGCCTTGCTTTATATTCACTGCTATGATTTTATATCTCGATATATTCTTTTACGTTTCCACTAAAAAGTACCATATATTTGCTCTGTCGTATAGTGTACCGTTACCTTTTATTTTAAAGAATGAAAGACGATATGAACACAAAAGTTACTATGATTAGATATATAAGGATTTGTGTACGCTGTTGACTTAAGTATGACTCGTATAGACTCAATCATGTCCCCACTTATGATGATAAAATAGTATTGATGACAAAATACACATTTGCTTTTATGCATTTAATTATCATTGCTAATTTTTATTATCTTAAGAAGCGTTGGAGCGTTTTCAAGTATCAAACACGAAAATGAAGGACATTTTTTGCATAATGCTGCAGGATAATCGAAAGAAATTCATAGCTCGTAGTGTAACAGAACACTTGTATGTATCTTTTGCATCCTCGTCTATCGAACCACATTCTTCTACACTGCATCATATTCAACCTTTTGTTATATTTTCGAACATAACTCTGTAACGGTTTAGCTGAATTATTTAACATAATAACTGTAATGCATTTTCATGAAACTATTTGGCTAAAGAAAGTTTCCAGAAATTTGTAGCCTAGTGAGTGAAAAATTTCAAGATTATCTTTTAGCGCAGGTGCCTACAGTGTTGTGTGATTTTTTTAGAGAAGCATGTTATGTCCGAAGTGTTTCCCTTCAGCTATAAGACGAAGCGATATGAATGATAGGTACTCCTTTCAAGTACAGTGGTTAATACGTCTGCTCGGGACGTACGAGGTACATGGTTCGATTTCATGTGAAGGGAGATTATTATTCTGCTCCGTTGTGTATATCATACCATCACGTTGCTGTCTCGATGATATCAAAGTATAATAATACGAGAACAAATAAAAGAGATTAGAAAGAATATGTAACAAAGCATATTTATTGAAATGAGATCTCTTACAGTATCCTGCCTACACTCTGAATATATTTGCCTACCCACTATATATTATAATTGAATGATAGACTTCATTTTTATTGTACTGCATGCTTTTGCTTTCCTGTTTTTAGTGTAAGAGAATAAATTGAACAATTTGGTACGAAAACAGTAAGTTTTCTAAGACATTTCATAATTCTCTGAATCAATAAGATAGATTCTTAAAATTATATTAATCACGGCGAATGCATTAGACCATTCGGAGTAGTCAGGTTACTTATTTTCCAGCGCGTTTTTATTTTAAAACAAACGAACTAGTATTTTTCGGACTTTTCACTATTTAAACTGACGTCACTTTATTGATAAGTCATGATCTGGAGTCGTGAGACGCATCAGCTTTGGAATGCTGTCGAGTTGGGTGTTCAAATCTATCTTCTGTCTCTTTTTTTATTTTTCTTGTATTTGGTGGACTAGTCTGGATGGCCCCTTCTTAATTGACAAATGGACTAGACGTGGCGAGGTTCAGCAACGTTCTGGACTAGTTCAGACGTGGTAGACTGACATATCTTGTCATGATAGCTAGTTATGACGTTTATGAAAGATGCTTTGGACTAGACCTGACGGGTACACCGAACTTGTCGGACTAGTCAGGCTGCCAGTCGTCATTCATTTTTCTCTCATTTGGAGATACTATAAGATCGTTCATTAGTTAGTGTTTAATGAAGGAATTTACTTACGAATACCTTTATAACTGTAAAAATATCAGTTGAGATCATCAATATGTGAGCAAACTAAAGGAAAGTTTTTCAATAAAGAGAATACCAGATAGTCACTCTTGCAAAGCTGACACTGCCATATAAGGGCTACCTCATATAGGATATTGTTGTTGTTTTTCGAGGAGCATCTTTGGAATGTTGTGAGTACACGTCGGTTAAAGTACAGATAAACTTAATATTATAAATCGAGTAAAGCATTCATTAGTAAGTGGAATGCAGATTGTAGGTTTCTATAAGTAATAAGAACTTGCTCGATGACGATGATTGTTCGTTTCATATCCTTTTTAGACAAAGCTTAAGTCGAGTCCGTATTTATATATATGTATTGATTCAAATCAAGCTTTTCAGTTGTTTGAAATATGAAACTCGAGTTTCTTAGTACACGGCAGAAAAGAACTAAAATGTCTCATTCTCGACTATCTTTAAATTATAGTTCTGGTATCATGCATTGTGAATCGTATTTATAGCAGAATAAATCCATATTTACACCAGGGTTGTCATCGCTTCCGCTTCTGCGAAAAGTTTCTGTTATTTAGTCTTTTATCCGAATTTTTCCACTGTTCATCTTGTTTCCACTTTTTTGGGAAAAAAAGTTGCTATATGGTGAAGCTTTGGCACGTAGCAAAACTTGCTATTATGGAATAAATCGTCACTAATGTTATGTAGAATGTTTTCTTTCTTGCTGATTGATCTATGGACTTAGTAAAAGATCATTAAAACTCTTTCTTAGGAAAGAAGGCATTGCAAATGTTTCTCATTCTTGACGTAAAATGACCAGCAGTAATTGAATCCACCCAATTCGATAGTTGCTGATTTACAAATTTGTCGAAACATCTGATTGTCATGTACCGATATGTATGTACGTTTGTTTTCTCAAAAAGAGTTGCTACGAGCAATTAGTTGTAATAGCAAGTAGACTTTCAAAAACACCGTACCTAATAAAGTTATTATCGCTTTTGTATTATTTTCTGTTTTGAAACTTTGCTCTAGATGAAGACATGTCGTATTTATACCTACTAAAAAAGTGATTAAAGTTCTAGGAAAAACTAATAGCAAATCAAATTATGACTTTCTGCTTTTTCTGGCTTCTCTTAATTTTTGCCGCATATTTCAGAATTTTGAAGGAAATTTTCCGCACCTCGAACTTTACAATGTAGCAACCTGATTAACGCTTTTCAAAAGAAACAAAGAATATCCAAGGTTGAAAGGATCACCGAGCAAACAGAAATAAATATCGACTTCTGAGACAATAATGTTGTTCTAAAAGTTAACACGTTATGTAAACTTAATCGCGTAAGCGTTTATTCAGAAACGAATCGATGCAACAGAAAGTATTCTCCTTCGAAAAACAGTTTCCATAAAAGAATATCTTACATTACTGAATAGAAATATTTCTCTTCTTCTCAATGGTATAAAGGAAACACGCGTGCAACAACTTTATAGTTTTTATCTATGAACACGTCATGAAGATATTGTTGATGACAGCTAATTATAATAATTTGTCGTTCTACGAGATATTTTTATCGGTTTTACAAAAATTTCAAGTAAGCACGATTTTACAGAATCTCTTTATTGTGTTCATAGAAATGAAATTCATCAGTGTCTAAGAAGATGTTTTCGACCATTTTATGTAAGAATTACGAATTGTTTCGCTATTCATCTTATAAAATATTAAATTATTAATTGGGAAAGATAATCCTTCAACGAAAGAGGATATGCTCTTTTTTATACGTAGAATATCTTAGGTCCAGATTCGAGTATTTTCTGTTGCAATTCGATCACACAAATAACCAAGAGTCAATATTAACTAGCAAGATAAAACACAATGAGCTCTATAAAAATTGACGTCGTGGTTGAATAGTCTCTGTAGACAACTATATCGTTACTTGTTCAACACTTTAATCTATGGTAATTTCGGCCGATCAGTAGATGCGCAACCCTCATTGCATGTGTTTGTGGATTGTTCGTGTTCAGGACGTCATCGCGACATCAGTACTCCTCATTAACTATGATAATGCCATCATACTGAGTCACATCGAAATCTTACAGAAGTTCAATCCAGGTTCGCCTATTTCAAACTCGCACTCTCCACACACAGACTTTCACCACGATGCGCATTCGATACAGCTTTTCGAGTTTCATCTCGGTGGTGCGTGCCGGCTCTTGCATTTCTTTGTGGCTGAACAGTGACAAAAAGTACTCGAATACTAAACTAAGGTATCCTAGATCCGTTTTTCTTGAAATAGCTCAACTAGTCTATTTATCCATATTAAATATCAAGAAGCTAGTGGGAAAGAACTTCATGCCAAACGTATATATGATTTCGAAGAAAATAACGTCTGTAAGTTTTTAGTCGATGTTTTCCGGCTTACACTCTTGCTGTCGACTTACCCCATTTCAGATTTCAGCATCTTGAATGAAGTAATGAATATAAATAAAAAGTTTATTTGGTATTCAATTCGATGCTGGTAATCACAAAAGCTGCTAACGAAATCTCTTTGAGATTAACATGCGAAACTCAATGTAAACATTAAATCTAATGACTAAAAATGTTATGCGCTTGCATAGTTCACCGCTAAGACTTGCACGAATGCTTAATACAATCATACTTCAAATTTTTCTATAAACATTTTGACTCGAATACGAACAAAGATACCTTTAAAGCTGTAATATAAGGATTCGATACTTGCATGCATGTATAATGCCGTTCATCCTTGTTTAAGCGTTTGATATTTATATGACAGGTCATTAGTTTCTTTTAGATTAAAAAATTTGTTTCTAATTTGTCACTTTGTAATAATGGCAAACTCTGATGCAGTTGATAATATATTTGCAGTGGCTGACACAAATCGAGATGGAAGGTATAAATTAAGAATTTGAAGGAATTCATAAATATGTGCATATTTAGAATCGATAAAAACGAATTAAGTAGTTTAATATCAAAGGGTGAAGGAGTGACCTTCTCGACATGGCAAGCATCCAGTGCTGGAGATGATCTCAATAACAATACTGATCGGTATGCACGATATCGACATAGGGTGAGTTGTCAAAATGCTTTAAAAACTAGAACTGATACATATACTTCATAGGAAACTACTACAGTAACTAGTGATTTGGCAAATGAAATGCCTATTAAATCAGGTAGTGTAGAAGAAACGAATCGATACCTTCGAAGCTTAGGAAGCAGTGTTTATGTGGATTCTAATCCACAAATTATTCGGCGACCAACATTTGAACGTCCAGTAACATATGAACAGCGAATTATGCTTCGATGCCTTCAACCACCACCTCTCACATCAGTAGAAGTAACGAAACAACGGATTTGGTTCAGCTTCCATTCCTTAATCTTACTGGTTTTTTTGTGATTTTAGCCATTGATTGTTAAAGAGGTACGTCCAGAACAACCGCCGCCGCCGCCACCATTGGTCATACGCGAACATGGATCATGCACTTCTCAACCACCACCGCTTATCTTACGTGAACGACCACCAGTACCACCAGCACGTATCCCCGGCGAAACAGGTGAAAAAGAAAATCTAAAGTATATAGATTAGATTTGCTCATGTATTTTATTATTCAGTTATTCGCCATTTACCTTCAGTACCTCTTCCACCACGATCAGTTCAAATCGAACGTTTTTCAGATTGTCCAGAAAAACCACGTAAAAATTATCCTTATTTGTCTTTTTTTGTTTTGTCTCAGATTTTTGGTTTTTCCCTATTTAGGGGATATTATCATTGAACGATGGCTTCCGTATGCAGCTGGAACTGAACGTCGTGAGATTGTTGAACATGCTCCTCCTCCTCTGAAATATCCAGCACCAACTCATACTGTGATTATTTACGACAGTGTTCAACCAGTTATTAACCAAAAAATTGAACGACTAGGTATTACTCAAGAAGATCCTGAAGCCTATGTAGCTCGTTATGGAGCAGCACTTTTAGATCGAGACACACTTCTTCAACGGGCTCGTGATGCTGGCATTGTTCAAGATATAGTAAATTTGTTCTAAAGAAAAATTACCTTCAGAAAAAAATGATATACATTTTTTTTATAGTCGTGTTCGTCACTAGCCTCTTCGGGAAGTTCAAGTCGGCGTGCGAATTTCATAGACGTTGATAAATCAAATGATGCAATCACACAAGGTTTTTCATTATCAGGTAGAAACAGTTATGGAGGAACCCAACGAGTTTCTAATACCCCAGTTACCAATCTTGATATAAGAAATTCATCATCATCATTACAAGGTCATGGTTTTAGTACTGAAACTGGCAGTGCTAGGGAAATTCGATCAGGATATCATGTTGATGATGCTGATGTCAATACCACTACTACTGTAGACCGTGATGGAGAAACAACTGTAAAAGAAACGTATCGATATTTTTAAAAAACATTATTTAACTGAAATGCTTGCTTTTGCTATTGAGGTGTCTTGCTTTGATGTAGCTTTTTAGAACGAAACCCAAAATGCTTAATAAAAGATAGAAAACTAAATATCAAATGAAGATTGATTGCAAAACCTACGGATACCACTATCAATGCAATGACTTTTTACTGTGTTGGCGTTGAATGTGGCTTTTTTTAGGAGACTATAACCAGTTTTGACTTTGTTCAAGAGCTTCATCAGGTATTTTGTAAGTTGTATAACTATTCGAATAATCTGTAGATCACAAATAAATCAATGGTTGAAATGACATGATTCCATATTACTTGTCAATAGAGACCTATTTCGATTCGTTTCTGTCACTCTGAAATGAGTTTATTTTTAACTAAAGGGGGAAAGATTAATCCGATAAAACTTTTAAGAACATGTTTGTTCCCTATTGAGATGTTATACAGTCGACGTCATAAATCTCGCTCCACTTTTTTGTTTCGACTCCCATTTCAAAATGATGCGATATTTTTTCAATCTGATTTTTGTGTACTCAAAAAGTGAGTACACTCTAGAAACGGTCAGTGTTTCCGGCCGGCCATCCGTTTACACGATAACTTTTGAAAGGAGAGTCAGATCGCGATAAAATTTTCTACACAGTTTAGTCTTAACAATACCTCGATCGAGTTCGAAGATGAGAATGATCGGCCGAGCCATTCCTGAGTTATTGCAAAAATAGTCATTTTTCCCTATACCTTCCTATGCGAAAATCGACCTATCCCCGATTTCGTAAAAAACTTTTCCTATCATAGTCAACTAAAACCCCAACTATTATATACCATTCGATAGAGAATTTCACGAGCTACAAAAGGGTATATAAAACATAAAGAAACAAGAAGATTAACTCAACTATTACAAAGATAACTAAACGGAAATTGTTTCTGCTTTTGTCCACGCTTTAATTGATCTACAATTAGAGCTCTATCTTCTCATCACAGAGATGATACTTCGAAGTTTTCTGGGGCGGAGAACTCGAATCTGAGCTCCACTTGCCTCGAAATCCTGTTGGTTGAGCAGTAAACGATAGAAATCAAGTTATAGGAAAAACGACTTTCTGAGAGTAATTCAAGGCGAATAGTTCAAATCTGAGCTATGTTCGCCCCCAAATCCTATTGGCTGAGCACTAACCAATAGAAATCAAGTGTTTGTAGAAAATGCTTGTCAGGATAATTTTGATGTCCACACATTCTAGAATGACTCATCTGCCTAATTCACTTTTTGAAGTACACATAACTCTCGGATTTAAATCCGAGGTTTCCACATTTATTTTATCAGGTAGAGGAGCTCGAGTACTATATATATGTATTTCATTGAAATGAATAACTCTTGAATATGACCCATAGGAAAAAAATCAAACTTCAAGATTACTTTAAAAAAATACATAAAAAAATACAAATCAATATTTTTCAGCTTTTTTAAAATAAGGAATGACGATGATTTGGACATGGACAATCCTTATATACATTTTGTCTCATCGTGAAGCCACAATGCTTCTAAAAATATCTTACATTTTTTCCTGTTGTAGCAAACCATTCATTCTCCGTCATCGTAGCTACGGTGTCTTCAGTAAGAAACGCATGTTTTCTTACTCGTTCTTCCCATTGGTGGAATAAAGCGTTGTCTAATGGATTGATGCGTTTCGATGCTTGAGAAGGTATAATCAGTATTTCCACCGATTCTTTGACTCCAGCATCGTGAAATGCTTGTTTGATCTTGGAAATATTGTGAATATTCGATTTGTCTAATACCAGATACATAGGACAAGGATCAAATTAATTTATCGAAGGAAACAAGGTATTCTTGATGAAATCAATCAACATTGAGGTATTGATTCCTTTAACTTGTTTTGTTTTTCTATCTTATGGGGAATAGATAATTGATGGTAGCACTTGACTACCAACAATGGCACGAATCATATCAAAACGAGCGGCATATGATGATGAATTAGTAACAACAACGTACGATTTTTCACCTGGTGCCAGCAGTGTTGCTCGTGGTGCTTCATTAACTTTAATGTGGGTTTCATCCAAAAAAAATATTTTCTTCTTGAAAATATGCTGAAGCTTACGACGAAGTTTTGCTATATCATCACAAGCAATTTCACTCACTAAATTTAAACTTGATGAAAAAAATTAATTAAACAAGCAGAGAAATGGTATAAGGCGATGATTAGACATCTAAGAGTACACGTGTTTATACTCACTTTCTTTAACGGAACGTTTCACAGTTTTCGTATACGTAATGCCGCTTTTCTTTCCGTATCATTGAACCGTCCTGAGAGAAATATTAGCATTTGTTCTTTGACGAACGGAATTTATGATGTTTGTGTAAACTAATTGGGCGAGAAATACGATTATGAGAGCATATAGCCTCCGTAATGAATTGATCAACTTGTTTTTTTATTTAATATTGGCGGTCTTCTTGAACGATGATGGTTTTCTAATGTTGAAACCGTACCATCGTATCGATCAAACCACCACTTAATAGTCTTATGGCCACCCGGGATTTGAAAAAGATTGGCAGTAAATCGAAAAATAATGTTCGACTGATTTTAAAGATAATACTCGACAACACGTTGTTGGAAGAATGGGTCATAATATCGAGATAAGTTCGTCATTGTACGAAATTTCTTAACAACTCACTGACAAAATATTCCAATCGGATTCGAAAGCTTATTTCACAATTGATACGGGAACAAAATAAGAAAATTGCAGATCGTTTTTTCGTATTGAACGATAGACCAATTACTGTGAACTTTAGCGGTTAATATCGATAGATGGCGTCGCGATTGTAATTAGGGTACCGCTATGGGAACAAATACGATGTGGTTGCTCAGATCTATTGGTACATCATATCGTTTCACTTCTTACGATTTTAATTAAGGAGAGCGAGATTCGACTTGTTCATAGACGTCTTCGAAATTGGAAAAAAACGCTTTTCTGTTGTATTCAAAAATGAATGAAATTCATATCGAATGCGAAATGAAACCTTAGTTCAGTCATCATTTTTATAATTCTTTAAATATTCGTGTAGCAGAACAAGAGCCATTTAGACAAAGATACATCTGTCCCGCTTATAGAGTGCATTTTTTGACACTGATTTTCTGATTTTCTGTCTACAGGCTGTATACGAAACAGCTTAGATTTCAGTAAAAATATCGATTTGTATCTTTTTATGTACTTTTTTAAAGTAATCTTGAAGTTTGATGTTTTTCCTATGGGTCATATTCAAGAGTTATTCATTTCAATCAAATAAATATGTATAGTACTCGAGCTCCTCTATCTGATAAAAATGTCAGATTGAAAAAATATCGTATCGTTTTGAAATGGGAGTAGAAACAAAATAGTGGGGCGAGACGTATGATGCCTACTGTATTTTTTGACAATCTTGTCCGACTCTGTAGAAGTTTATAAATGTTCATTATCCACGATACAAAGACCTATGCATTTATATAAACCCTGTTTTCAAGCGTCTTTATATCATTTACTATTCACAAGAATTCAATAACTTCATTAGTGTATGTTTAGGAATTGTTAACCACACCCGCCCCCCCCCCCCCCCGCAAGCCAATGAATTTCTCACTAAATTTAATGAAGAACTTCGTTTGTATTACTATATTTAGCAAAATAAAACTTATTTTGTAACTGTTCTATGCTGATTGCTATGCGAAGTATCGTCTATGATATTTTTAATCATTTTTTCAAACAATACAATCCAGGTTGGATATTAGTCGCAAAAAATTTAAAGGCAGAACATTCACAATGATATGATGTCAATATGAATGAATATCTAAGGAGTCAACGACCGTGTCATTACTATAAAGAACTCCAAGTATACAACGGTCAACAGTCGTCATCTATAGATTCTCATTTTATTACTGATATCGCAACATTGAAATTCATGAAATAATAGAAGCCACGAATAATTTGTTAAATTCATTCACAATTTTTATTTCTATTTTTTAATTTTTTCTGAACAATATTAGTCGACATCAAATGAAATCGATCAACTGAAAATTAATAAATTATATTGTTAATCTCAAAATCTTCAACAAGCAAGTCGTCTTCAGCTTATGCTACAGCATATCGCACCATTCGCCACTATCAATATGATTATAGTATTTCCTCATGTTCATAATTACTTTAATCTGAAGATTCAAATTTATTTTTTTATCAGCTGGCTAATAAAACAAAAAAAACACAAAATTTCCTTTAGTGAAGAAATCTTCTTTAATTCTTTTTCATTTGTAATAACTCATCCACTAGTATTTTTTTCTAAGTTGTTTCTGTACTTTCTCTACTTGTAATTTTTTATTCCCTTTTATTTCTATTAATTATCATTTTATATACAAAATCAAATTATTCGAAATAAATATTATCAAGCGAAATCAACGTTTTGAGATCCGTAGTAATGCTCTAAAATCTGTATACACAGTACATGAAAAGAGAATTAGCAACGAAAATTATAAACACTGCTAAATGTTATTCTTCAGGAAAAAACGTTACACATCTACAAGAGTTAAATCAATGAAGATTTTTTTATTTTTGAAGAATTCATGTGATAAATAGTTTTATATGAATTATTTGAAATTACCATTTTACATTCAGCAGATTATTCAATCATTTGAGTAACAACAGATTTCTCGTTACTAGTTGTAAAACATTATCCAATAACTCAACTTGAATGAATCAAACTAAATGTATGTAGTATATGACGATGCTTGTTAAGTGCAATATTACGAGCACCTTAGTGTTCCCTCAGAGTGTGGGTGTAGATACGGACTTCGCCAACATCTACACGCACACCCCACGCCCACACCCAATAGTCGAGACTCAATTGACTACAGATGCGTCTCAATGGATCAAACCTCTTCTTCCTTGGTTCGTATCCGGTAATTTAACGGTCGTAGCTTCGTGGCCCGATGACATCATTCACGAGAATTCCAATCATTTTGACTACCGAAATTGGAATTGGTCTCGACCGTTGCCCTATATTGATTTACCTGACTGGAATTGCAATTACGATCGACAAAGAGATTGTAAGAATGATAGTTGCATCGATGACGCACTGAGAAATTATTCACAACGCGTTATCGCTGCTGACCTAGACCGTGCACAACATCAAGAGGCACTCATGTTTCTTGTTCATTTTGCTGGTGATGTTCATCAACCATTGCATGTTAGCTTTGAAGGAGATTTGGGTGGGAATAAGGTGAAAGGTAATGACAAATTACGACATCGAGTAATCATAGTTTGGATGCATCTTTCTATTTGCAGGATTTTTCATGAATAGTGCACGCGAGACAAATCTTCATTTTCTTTGGGATTCTGGTCTCATTCACGTTCGTATGTCACGTAATTTTAACTCGAACATAACCATGTACTACAAATATCTTTATGATCTCATGCGCAATCAAGCATCAAAAATTGACAACGGTAATTTCAAACAATGGATTGCAGAAGGTGTGCATCTGGTCTGTGGACAAGTTTATATAGATGAGAGGAATATAACAATGAATGTTTCAGCCGTTTTCCATTTGGGCAACACCTACTATAAGAAAAATATTTCGGTTATTGAAAAACGGATTATTCAAGGAGGTCAACGATTAGATGCTCTTCTAAACATGTTAGCTGCTAATCGTCCGAACCCGTCATCAACACCACCATCAATAACATCCACATCAATGTCATCCTCACCATTTGCAAAGCTCTATTGGAGCATCACCACACTTATTGTCATACTTAGCATCGAATTTGTTATTGTCATTACCTTTATAGGAATTCGAATGTTTATGCGACGGAAACAACCAATAACATTGTCATTTTCTACACCTTTCAAGAAATAAAGAAAACCCTTTGATGCTATATTGTTCCGACGGTGATAATCGTACTTTTCCGTCGCATTATATAAAAAGGAAGATTATGTTTCGAGGTCTCGTGACGGTCAATTAGACATGTCAATGAAACGGTCGTGCTTGACATACAAAGCTTCAAAGAATAGATTTCTTCTCTTAAATAGACGGTCACTAGACAGAAAATAAATTCAAATTTTTGTCTCGTTCTTTGTCACTACAAATGTTCATCTCTAAATTTGGAGAAAAAAAATAACTGACTTTAAAATGGTTGCTGAAATTTTTCAATTTCAAAAGAAAATAGCTCATATCTAGGAAACTTTACAATAGAAGAAACTTGTCAGCACAGTTCCTCATAGTACTAATTATGTTATCAGTCAGATTCAACCATCCTTAGAGGTATACATCAAATTTTAAAGAACCAGCAATTTCTTTCACAAACCAAAAAGGACTGGATCGAATGTGTTTCATTCTCTCTAGTTGTGTTAAAGATTTCCTGAATTCTTAGATCTTTAGAGTGCTCTCTATTCGTTCTCGACAGTTATTATGCTACTGTCGATCACTGCTGTTTTCAGGTCGTTTTTTTTGTGAGCCATGACTTGTCTAGTTTTGATGTAGCGTTCACCTTGATTCGACTACTGTTCTGTGCTGAGACACATGACTAGATTAGACGAATTTTCTCATTTGAAACAACAATTGTCCTTAATTAAATCTTTTATTTACTATATCCGAGCTAATTAGAGAAAGTAAGTCCAAAGCTCTGAAATTAAGTCAAACTTCTATAACAATTTCTTTTCTTTTATGTCAAACAAATCTGATCGTTCCTTTTATGAAGAAATTAGTGAGCAAGCAATGTTACATGATAGAACTTCAACTGTAAGCACAAAAAGAAATATTCGAGCGTTGCAGTCGCAAGTAAGAAAAATGTGATGCGTTAGACGAAAAGATTTCTAGACATTCTTATTTTTCTTTGTACTTTTTGTTAGATATTGAAAAGCATCCGCGTATTTAAGAAGGAAAACGCTTGTTAAAGAAAAATATTTCCAAGTGGAAGGGCTAGAAGTTTTGGACATAAACATGCATCCATCATTTTCATACGAAGTTCCATAGAAACTATCTCACTTCTTTAAGAGAATCTATATGAGACCACCGAATACTTTTAAAAAGTGTCTGCCAATTGCATTTCTGTTTCTAATACTTTTTAATTTCATTTAAAAGTATGAAAAAATCTCATAATTGTATTAATATTACGTGCACAGACCATATTCTTACTGGTCTGAATTTATTTACTTCCAACTGCATGCTTAATGTTCGAGCTTTTTCCTAGTGCATTTGCACGAGATTTAGTGAAGAAGTGTAGTCAATATATTTTTAAATGAGTGCATCCATTTTCTGAAATTATGGTTATTTGAATTTCTTGATCTTAGAAAAAGCTTTCTTTTATGTAAGCATGTCTTTTTTATAGACACAATGTTTCGGATCTTGAATATTATGCTCGGAAAACAATCATTGTTTGGGAAAAGTGCAGTGTGATTCATCATTCCCCTAAACACAAGGAGTGTTGCACAATCTTTAAAATCTATTTTGTTGATGGAAGAAGCCATACAAGAGACCTGAAAATCAGTTTATGATGCAATGACAATGCCTGTGGCATTATTATTGACATCAGTACATGATATTGACTTAAGTTACTATGTAGTCGTACGAATCATCATTGAGATTGATTATTGTTTCTTTTTAAAAGTGGAACTCTACATTGCTTTTAGGCTGTCTAACAATGTTGATAGTTATGGATGAAAATTATATTAGATGATAAGAACGACTCATTGCTTGATCGATGTGGTCAGAAAAAGATTCAAAGAATTTTTTCATGGATGATAGCACTGTACGTATTGCTGCAAGTAACAAGGAACTTCAAATCTTGCACCAATATTTTGGCGAGCTATCATTGCAGTCGGATGAGGTGTCTGCATGAGCAGCGTAGCTTCTTGTTTGAGGTAATAGCGCTCCCTGTATAATCAACAAAAGAACCAAAAATTTCATGCTGTTTTCATAGAATGATGCGATTCTTTCCTGTTACTAGGTCACATGTAAAAGTCGATGTTGACAATCGTGAAAAAAATCCATTCGTCTAATCATTCTGGCATTGTATCATCATTCAATACTATTGGAATGATTCACCTGAGAGAAAAAAAAACATCACCCAATATTGACAAGAAAAAAGTGACGACGAGAGTGAGATTTGAACTCACGCGGGCAGAGCCCATTAGATTAGCAGTCTAACGCCTTAACCGCTCGGCCATCTCGTCGATGTCGATCTTAATTGATTATGATGACAAATGTTTCATGTGCAATCACCGAATGAGAAAAACCTGTAGTAATAAAATCTTCCTTGAACTTTTTTCTAAGTAACCAGCTTAATTATCATTGATATTCAATGCCAGTTTTTAAACATTTAAATCCACTAATAGATAATTCCATAAGTCATGAACAGATAAAGTGCCGAATGGGCAACTTCAATGATGATACGACGAGAAAGAAATGGGAACAAGTCATATGATAAATGTTTCATCGTATTGATGAAGGAGAAACTCTATGGAAGTCTCGGGTGTGAGTGTGGGTGTGGATGTGGGTGTAGGATGTGGGTATGTAGGTGTGGGTGTGGGTGTGGGCGTTGGTATGGGGTATGAATCATCTCTCAATCTACACCCACACTCACACCCACACCCACCCACCCGACACTCAGAGACTGACATAGTTGGCGAAAACGTCTTCAGGCAGAAGCCTTGACTCTTGTTGACTAAAAAGGAAGAGAGCTCCTTATATCACCAAGTTGCAGGAAGCGCGAGTTGCAAAAGATAGCAACATACTTTGAAAGTATACTGCGTTAGTTGTTATTTCATCTACATTTTTTTTACATTTGATGTTGATTGACTTATCAACTGCTTAATTATTTAACGTTCTTGGGTGATAGACTAGCTGATCAATTAGATTTCAAGAGCGTTACTGTATCAGCATTAATGACAAAACGCGAGTTATTCGACATTGAGAAAACTTCTGAAGTGAAATTAAACATCGACAAGTTCGTTTAGCTAAAATAAGGAAAACTCTTGTCATAGATCATTATCAATATAGAAAACTACGTCTTCTAAGCAAAACTATTCTTACTCTACTTGCGATTGCGATTGTGGCGACTGCCATGACTGTTCCAGCCGTTCTCTTAACCCGGCGTAAAACACCACCCGCAACTACATCCTTACCCACTGAATCCCCAACCATACTGTCAACGATGGTTGATATTTCGACAGCCACATAAATGACGATGGAGTTAACTTCGACAGTCACAGAAATAACGACAGACGCCATTTCCACAGTTCCTACTATTACAGTAGAAACGACAGGTGAGATTCGAGTACAGGAGAATTTTTTCTTCTTCTCTCTCTCTTTAGTAACAATTGCTTGCGCCTCAGAGATGTTGGTGTGGGTGTGAAAGAACAGAAGAATACCGTCCATGTACACTCTCTGATCAGATCAACAGTGACAAGATTTTTATATAGATCAGGTCATATTAAAAATAACTGTGTAGGAGTAGTCAATCAAATATTTCATTTTGAAGTGTTATGAACCGTTTGTCTATCCTGATTTCACTGATTAGGCAAGATTATTTAAAGTAAAATTTCTTTTGGTCAATTTCACTTTCTATAGGTGTTTTAACTTGTTTTACTGCTTGTATCGTTTAAAAATCTTACATTACTCTTGTATTAAAAGTGATTTAATCAATAGTCGGTAAGACAAGCCATTAATTTTCTATAGATGGAAAAGATTTGAACTTTAATGTGAAGAAAGTAGAGTATGCCATTTAAAAGAGACCGATCGATAGTATTTTAAAAGAAAGAGTTTCTATTCCTGCGAAGCATTGAGTGCTTTGGACACGAGAAATCCTTATTGAAGTGGGCAACGTCATAATGTTTCCAAAAGATCGTAGCAAAATATATCGCCTAACAGTGATCGAGCAGCAGCAAAAAAAGTCTTGAATCAAGTCTTAATCGATCGACTACAAAGTACTCTTTCAAATATTAGATGTCTACGAACCAAGATAATGGGTTCAAAAACTATCTCCGTGTTTGCTGAAATTTCACAAGGAGACTTGCTTATCTTGCCTAATTTTTACAACAAGAACGATGTGTTTAGATATAGTTCAGCATGCTTCACTGAACATATCCCTTTTTATTCACAATTTAATTTAATATTTGCATCCGTTTTCAAGAAATACTGCTTTACGGACTGTCATTAGAATCTGAGTTTTGTGACATTTTTAGACCAATAAGCATTTCGCGCTGTTTTCGTTCATAAGTATGCACATATTTATTTTCCTCAAGAACATAGCAGGTCGAAACAGTGGAACATTTTTTTCGTAGGATTCTAGTTTGAAATTATATCATTTGATGTACAGTTCGGTACTGGTGATGAATATATAGTTACTTTTAACTTTTTTCCTTCCATCTCGATCAAAACTGTGATTTTCTGAAAAAGAATGAAATTTCATAGCGAACATCAGTTTTGGTCTGTTTTTCGATGAACTGATGCTTGCCATCGAATAATGTGATATTTTAAAACCTTGCTAAGACCTGAACAAATTTTATATAGAAAGTCTATTTGTATGTCGTTTTGCTTTGTACTGAAAAGCTTAAACTCTTAACTCCATTAAAAAAGAATTTCATTTTTCCAATTTTTAAATGCCCGGTATTTTCTACATAGCTAAGTTCGAACCAAAGGAAAATCAATGAAGTTTCTACAGATAGTAGATCTAAATGGTATCTATCTCCAAAAAAAATTTCAAACAATTTCCTTTTCCTTTTGACGAGAATTAGATTTTAACATGTGAAAAATGAAACTCAATAACGCTTGAACATGTGGTGTTGTCACTTATCGATGTTAAGTTCGACAAAAAGTGTGAGTTACTCAAAACGAAATTAAAAAAAATACGTATTAGT